TATGCTATACTTCAGCTACTATAATTTGTCTCAAATTTGATCTCAGTGATGTTCTGTACAAGTTGTTCTAAAAGACAATACAGATGTTTGCAAATTTAGTTTATTATGCTTCAACACTAATTATAGAGCTGCAAGAGGATAAGTGGTTTATGTGGTATAAGATCCTAGGTGGTTATAACAATTTAAATTATAGTTTAATAGATCTGTTAATAGCTTATCTACTGTTTACAAGGAGTAAACTTATGATCAATTTTAAAGGTAAAAATAATAAAGAAAACAGAAGGTAAATCTTTATGCTAACATATTTTTAYTACTGATTCATGTTCACCTAGTTTGGCTCCATAAATGGAAAATTCTAGATTAATTCAGTGGAAGAATGGTAAGTTGAAAATAGGTCAGCTACAGAAATTCATGGGAAGCCCACTGAACGAAATACAAGGGCCGTGATATCATACAAAATCAAATATAATTGAAYTGGGTGCTTGATAGTCACTCTGAAAACATCCATCTAGTGGATGAATGTATGACTTTCAAGGCAGACCACACRGTTTATGGGGAAAACGAATACTTTCCCCAAAATCTGACAGCAATGTTTGTATTTAAGTAGTCTCTTTTCAATGGCTGGCTTGGTATTTCCTGTCTGTATCATACCAGCTTATCTTTCCTCTAATATTACCAGTTATGTTTGGCCAGTTCACAGCATCTATGACTTTCCAAGGCAAGCTTCTATTTTCAGATAGTGCAACTATATTCTTGATATTTTTTTCTCAGCAAAAATTATTTGACTGCTTTTATACAAGTTCTTTTTGGATATTTAGCTTTTTTTCAGGGATCCAGTAATACTGGGAAGCAGATGGGACTTCTCTCCTGGTATCTTGCCATCCTGACAGAATGATGGATGTGAGTACTTGAAAATCTTTATCTTACTCTACTTTGCTTTAGATATTTTCTAGCTCATGCTTGGAAAATGACATGGCTTGGCTGATGCTTTGTGTGGTCTTTGTGTGCTCTGTGCTCCTATGAGGTTGAACATCTCATATACTTCATTTACTGAATCTCAACATTTCTTGTTTATTTGCCTGTACTTATACCTATCTTAGAATAGAAAAACACTTTTTTTCCTTATCTTGAACCCACTAACAAAATTTGTCACACATCTAAGCTGTTACAAAGCATTCCTTCTCAGTTGAGTTCATCACTATTTTGCTGATGATGGCAACCCTTATATAAAAGCAATGTCTGGCAGAGATCTGCTGTTGGTCCTATCTCACTGACGTCATGTTATATAATAACATATTGGTGTCTTTGTAATGAAGCTTGAGCTATTAGATCATATCATCATATTGAATTAAAAATAAACAAGCCCCACAAGCTGGGGTCTGCATTGGGCTCAGCAAGTTAATCAGGGCCAGACACAATGCCACGATGGCTGGTCAGGGCCTTGGTGATAAGGCCAGGTGGAGACTGGGCYGAGCAGTGGACTTGAAGGTCCAGAAATGATCAGGCCCAGAGTTCYAGTCTGACTCGTGTTTCATATGGATGTAACAGCAGCCTGTTGATGTCAAAGACAAGAAGATAAAGCCATCTTTTCACAGTGGTACATCACAGCAGAGTAAGAGACTAGGAGCACAGCACTGAAACAAGAGATACTCACACTGGATATAAGGGAAAAAAATCTTCTTCCCCATAAGGACAGCCAAGCACTGGAACAGTTTGCCCACAGTAGATATGCYTTCTCTGTACTTAGAGGTTTATAAGACCCAATTAGATAACACCCCGAGCATCCTGGTTTGCTACACGTCTGATACTGCTTAAAGCACAGGTTGGATTACAGTCCTCCTGTGATCTCTTCCAAGATGAATTATAGTCCTAAACCAGAAGGAGTCTTATATCAACCACTGCTTTATATAGTTTTTATTTAGATTTTCTCCTTTGGCCTTTTTGGGTAGACATTAAGATTATGTTTGTTGTCAAATACAATTTATGTCATACTGTTATAAAATCCATATGGCAGATTCTATCCATAGTGCAATAGAAACTGTGCTTATTGTTTGACAGAAACATATAAGTAATGTGAATTATTTTTATAGAAAACTTTAGTATTAACAGCGTTTGAGATAAAATATAAGAACTGAAAAAGGTACAATTCAGTGAGTGGTAGTTTTCCATGTAGGTAGGAAGTATCAGCTGTGCAAAACCCAAATGAGATACACAGGAGTGATTTTTCAAAAAAGGATGTGGAATTAGCAATGAGTGCAAGTCAAACAGGAATAAATATCATGCTAATGTTAATAGGGTAAATTTTACTTTTTTCTTTTTTTTAATAAAGTTATCATCTGTAAGACATGAAAATTAATTTCTCTTTTCTACTTAGTGCTGATAAGACATTAAATGAGTCTAATTGGGAACTACAGCACTACAATTCCAGAAAGATGTGGATCACAGGGAATAACTGGACTGAATTCTCAGATTTTAACAAAACACACATAAAATGTCTAAAAAACATTTAAACAGATATCTAAACAGAAAACAGATATCTAAAAAACATGATTTGTGAAGAAAGGTTAGTTGGGGATGGTTAGGATACAAAACAGAAGTTAAGAACTGATCAGTCTTCTAGGAGACAAAAGGTATTTTAACAGGGAAATAGAATAAATGATTCAGCACTCTGTACAGRACCAGATACTCTAGGGCTATGCTACACCAAGGCAATCTGAATTAGATGTGATGTTATTTTTTTATAACAAAACCACAATAAAATAATACTTGATCAACCATGTTGCTGTGCTTGTGAGGTCTCTATTGCCTATGTCCTGCAGTGTCTGGTGGTAATCACAATCAAGTAATTCTAGAGACAAACTGGACAAATATCTTTCAGGAACGACACAGGTGTCACTAACACTACCTTAGAGAGAGGAAAGGATAAGTGACTTTCTGAGGTTGTCAGCTACCATTATTTCTATGAATAATGCAATTTGCAATAACAATCCTTTCAACTTCTGCTGATACACATTTGTGCGTGTCACTTACATTTCTCTGCTATTCACTTGACCTAAGTTGCATTCTCAGCTATCAGCAACTATATACAGATGTCCAAGATGGTGAGAAGTAGTGTTTTTCCCTATTCAGCAGCATTGGTCAAAGTTTGTATCACATATTGAAAACAGTTTTACTTTTGTGAAATTTGGCTTATTTCAATCCTAGTCATTGGTAACCCATTTTCAATATTTTGTCTATTTGCATAGACATATACACCTTTTCTTGCTTTTCAAGAATTACTATGAGTGTTATCTAAGTATTAAGTAATTTTAACAAATCTAAACTCCAATTTTATTTTTTATTTGCTTTGTCTTATTACTTACTTTAATGAAACTGAGACAAGTATTTTGTGAATTTCTGTGTTCCATAAACTTGACAGAGATCTTACTCCATTACAAACATGATCTTAACAATTTAAGAGGCTGAAGGAAATGTATTGTCTATTGTTGGCACCATTTTGTACTTCTCATATTTCTATTATGCCAAAAAAGAAAAAAAGTTTAGTATGATTAAATTCATGTATTCACAGGTATTAATTGAAAACAGAGTCCTCTGGTTGCCTATAGAGCCTGAAATGTTAGACTATTTTCCTTGGCTATTCTGCAAGTATATTACAATGTCTTTATTATTATTATAATCTTGCCACTGAATAATTTCATTGTAACTTTTCTTGAATAAAATTCCRTTTTTTTCTTGTGAGTAATGCTAAAAAATTCTTTGAAGTCTGGCACATTCACAGATGTCCCACYATCTCTTTGGCATTCATTTTCCTGTTTCTCTGCTGTGCCTTTACACATGGTGTTCCTTTACATTTTATAAACTGTTTAAATTGTACTAAAATAATATATAGGTGTAAAATCTAATCTCTCCCCCCTTTTGCTTCCTTCCTCAGTGTAATATATATTTTTTTTCCTTATCTGTAAGTTTTAGCATAAATATTGTCTTTTGACAAAGTTACAGATTATGTCCTCCTGTGTAGGGCATTTCCACTATGATTATGTTTTTCCTTGATTACAGAATTACAAACAATATTATGTAAAACTTTCATCAAGAAAATATGGAACCATTTAAAGGTGTGACAGACTCTTGTTAAGGATGAAGTACAAAGATCAAGTAAACTGACAGAGCTTTAATTTCTTGAGTGTGTATGTAGTACTTTCTATTAAAAAAACTTCACATAATATTTTGAAACACTRGATTTCAGAACGATTTGTATATGGATTCTCGTAACATACAAGGGAAATGGAGCTTTTTTWAAAAAATTGATTGTTTTAGAACAGCCAGAGCTAGCTAGCTAGGGCACATTCCTATCTTAATTAGACTACAGCTGTGTATGATGTATGTCTAGTAAATGACTAGAGGCCAGGCAAACTAGACAATCCCTGATTCCTCTCCTATATACAGTCRGAAAGCAGATGAAATTATCGAAAACCATGGAGAAACACAAGCCAGAAATGCAGTTCCCTGTATTCACATCATTTAGTCTAAATGTGAATATCCATCTATGGACATAACCAACTAAATACTTGGGGTATTTTTCATGTTATTATTTAAAACTACCCTGAAGACATAGAGAATGTTCTTTTAAACAGTTTTCAATTTCTGAATACTAACAGTAGGAGCTAGTTAGAGTTATTATTAAGTGATTATTTTTTCTGTATCTTCCTTTTTTTTTAAGATCTTTCTAAAACAATCTAAATTTAGTGTTATGGCTGCTCATAAACTACTAGGAACAATATGAGTATCCTCCTCGTACCTGGGAAGGTACAAAATCCTGAAAAGCAATTTTGGTTTGAATGTAAGTAAATTTATGCAAATTGCTGTCAGTTATCTAGGTATTCATTTCACTAGAAAAATAACATGATAGATGAACTGTGGCCAACCATTCTTCATGAACGCAAATATTTATTCAGAACTGGGGGGGGAGGAAAAAAACATTTATGAATAAACATAAGTCTTACCACTCCAATGGAAAAGTAGTTATTGATGATGTTGTAAGGCACTGGGTCTCCCTTCTCATCTTTATCGTTGGGTGTTACTTCAAATTTCCATCTGTCCAGCAAAATTTCTGTACTGTTCTCAATATCTTTTAAGATCTTCATCAAATTCTCACCTTCATAACCTAGCAAAAGGTGAAGATGGTGATTTTAATCAGGCACAATAAATGTTTTATTTGTTTTTCTTTCTTGGTGACTGGAAAGATGAAAACCATACATGCAAAATCTGCAAAGCAAAGTTGTGTTTTCAAGTACTGGCAATTTTCCACTATCTGGAATACAAATTCAGAGATGACTTTTGCACTGTAAATTTAGAGTAACTTTACAGATTTCACTGGGCATTTGATTTATACTGACTCCAAAGAAAATAATTTGATCTTCTAAACTTGCCATTTCATGAAATTTTCAAAATTATTATATCCATTATCCAAATACTTGAAGTCATACTTCAAGTACTTCWTAATTCTCAATATACTTCATACTTCAAAATTCTCAATATAAAATGAACCTTAATATCTAATGTCTTTAATCTCAAAATCTATGCAAAAAGATATATAAAAGTCTAATGTGTGTCTAATTTGTGTCTAATGAAAGTCTGACAATAGAGTAAAAAAATAAAAACTATTTACCATCTGCTTTTTCAATGTTTTCAATATGTGTAGCCTAAAAATTAACATAAAAATGCAAAATGTGAAATCCACTCACAACTGCTAAGAAGCCTATTCTACACAATAGTTATGATTTTTTCATATTTTAACTATCTCTTCATGAACCTCACAYTGCTCTGTATCTTATTTGCTAAGAAGCACACAAATTTTAGGTAGTTCACTGCACTACTTACATGTAATTGTCTAATGTAGTATACTGCACTGTATACTAAATTGGGTAGAAAATCATTGCTTACAATCTTTTGAGTATTATAAATAAAGCAAAGTACATGTTTGCACATAAAACAGGTGAATATTACCATCTTTAAATGCTATTCGGACAAAACAGGTCTGTAGTAAGTAATTGAGTTATTTGGATTCATTCCTTCTTCAAAGCAGGAATAAATGTTCATATTAACGCAATATACACTTTTGGGGTAATTAGCCACTTCAATAAATTATAGCCTCATCTCCAGGAAGTAGAAGGTATGTAACTGGTAGAGGGAAAAACTAGGACAAATATCAGAAGGTTTTTTCATATCTACTAGTTCAGCCAAAACTCAGCATTTCCAAAGAAGAAAATGAAAACATTCAAGGTCTTCCTGCATGAAACTCACTGCTGATGTACTGCTTTATGATTGCATTATTGCATAATATATTCTTATTCTTTAATTTTATTTGTTAATTACTGTCACCCCCACATATCTGCACAATGCACATATGCACAATTCCATTTGTCTGCATACGAGAGATCAGTAATCTAGTTTCTTGAAGACCTGTGTATTCTCCCTCCCATCCTATCAAAGTTCCAGAAAATCTGTGTTATGRTACCAGAAAGTAACTAGGCAAAGAATGATGAAAGACAGAATATTTTCATATTGTCTATGATYTTCTCAACTGGCAATTTTCAATTTTGTTAGAATAAATCAAAACAGAAGTAAATATGAGTGAATAGTAGTACAGATCCTGAGAAATGTTATTAAAATTAATAATTGTCCWCTGTTGTTCATTTCCTACTTCTCTTGCAGAAAGTTTAAAAACATTAGCAGAGGTGAACTTATTTTACTTGTTTCACATCATTGACGAACCTATGCCACAGTGACAGAGAAAAGAATCCAGTAGCATGACAAGGCTTAATAAAAATATATAAATGAATAAAAATATATAAAAAAATATAAACAATGTCTCTGCAAACTTCCACTGCAATTACTCAGACCTTCTCAGCATGTGAAGATGAAACAAGCAATCACAATTAATCTGAGCTGTAAACAAATAGATGAGTAAAAAAGCATTTTTAGCTTAAAATTTTGCTAAAAGCTAGTGGGATCATAGAAGAGAAAAAATATGATCTTTTTTTTTCAGATTCAGATAAACAGAGTTAAAAATTGATCCAGACATCAGAATAAATATGTTGCAAGTTGACTGCAATAATGCTAGTAGTTTTTTCTTGCAGCTTTTTAACTTGCTGAAATGTTGTAYTTTCTCAAAGGAAAAGGAAGAATTCAGAGGCAGGTAAATGGTACATGATTCACCTGTACCAGAAAGTAAAAATTAGGTTGGACCAAGATATGAGTACCAGGGATTGCAGTAAATAGCCAACTGACATCACAGGTATTCTTATAATCCCCAAATTCACGGGAACTTTTCATGCATTTCTTATAGATACTGCAGCATAATAGATAAAGATAAATATAGATAGATAAATAGATARACCTACTATGAAAGACCATCAAGAACCATGATTAAATACACTGATCACTAACTTTACATAGTGATGGCAAAGACATTTGATTATCAGAGACATTTGATCAAGACATCTTGGTAGGTGTTAGAACTTCATTTTGAGTTTCTGGTCAGAATATCATTTGAAATTACATCTCRAAAAAGAATGCCAGAAAATGAGTTTTTAAAATTATTTTAACAATTTCACATAACATTTTAGTCTTAGACTTAAGAGTACAATCATTTATCTCAAAGGAGCAGAGCTTGATTTTATTCATTACTGAAATTTCGCAAAGTGAAATGGAAATCAAATCATGTAATCTTTTAAACTAGTAGCAAAACCAGTACAAGCAKTCTGACAATGAACTGACAAGTCTCTACAGTCTGTTTTGACTGGGATATATTTTTAAAAACTGAGATTGAATTCTGCTATTGATAGCAAATTTTTGTGCTCTGTTCCTGCAGAACCCTTTCATGAGAGACTCTGTTTACAGATCTCTGCCCCACTAAACCCTTTTGCTTTACATTCATTTCTCAAATACATATCAAGTTCTTTAAATGTTTTTAGCTCCTTCCATGAGCAATAGGTCTAGAATCTAGGGAATTTTGCCATGATAAAGGATCACCTCACTACAAATCAGCAGCAGAGAGAAAACACAGAAAAGAGGAGCTGACAGCTAGGAGAGGTGAAAGACCAAAATAGAGAAGACTGAGGTTCTCAATGCCTTCTTTGCCTCATTCTTCACCAGCAAGCTCTCCCAAGCTTGTGTGCACAGAGGCAGGACTAAAAGAGAAAAATAATCTGCAGACGAGACTGAGAAAGGGATTACTTTTGAGAACTTCACCTATACAAGTCCACATGACATGATAGGCATGAGAGTTTTGATGCCCTTGATGGCCAGAGAAAGACATATGTTGAACATGTCTTCCAAAAGGCTAACAGAACAAGCCAGAAAACTACAGGCCAGTTAGMCGCACTTTCATCTCTGAAAAATTAATGGAGCAAAACTGGGTGGAACACATTTTTGAACATATGAAAGAAAAGGCTCAACACATGATGTATCTACCAGGATTAAATCATGCCTGACACACATTATTTCCTTCTAAAATAAAATGACTRGATTTGTGGGGAGAACAGATGTTAAATTATCTCAATTTTAGCAAGATGTTCAACACTTTTCCCTCAACATACCTTCATCCAAATTGTGATGTTACTGTCTGGATGGGTCAGAAACTAGATCAGTAGATAACTGATTCGATGATAAAGCTCAGATAGTACAGGGGAACTAATAATAGCCTGCCAAAAACAATGAAGAAGAAGGAGACAGTCTCTTCAGAGCATTGCATCATGGCATAGTAAGAGACAAGGAGTGTAGCACTGAAATAAGAAAAATTCACACTCTGAAAAAGAACACTTCCTGAGATCACCTCCAGCCTGAATTATTCTATCATTCTACCTGATGAGTTGTCAAGAAAGTGACACTTGGCTGATTTGATTTTCTTCAAGACTATGTCACCATTCAGGACAGAGAAACAGGGTCCTGAAACAATTTGACAAAATATTATAATTATCAAAGAAGTTCTATAATAGGAAAACTATTGTAAATTTGCTAAAGATCTATCTGATAACAAGGCAGGAATTATAAGAAGAAACTTGCCATGATGAGATAAAAGAGAGAAGAAGCTTGTACACAAAGGCCAAGAAGTTCCAAATAAACGGCTGAGTTGCAAGAAAACAACAAACGGACGAGAATGACCAACTGAGAGCTGGGAGAACAGGCTGACATGCTTACACCAGAGACTGAGTGTCGTCTAAGACTTCCTCCTGTTGTTTCTCTTTTCAAGTTATCCTGTTCTTCTTTTTTCTTTTCATAATGTAATGTAAATCCTGGATGAAAATAAGCTATGGGAGAAGCTGAGAGTTAGGCTCCATGCATCCAGGAAAGGATGCAAAGGATATTAAAAGTTTGTCTTTCTATATATATTCCTTTCTCAGTATGCTTTGTCTCCTCATTGCCTGACAAATGACATCGTAGCAGTTATTGTCTRGAATCCTCTGCAGGAGAAGAGGAGTGGATCAAAGGAACGAGTCTGAGGCTGAGACATATTTTTCATTTAATATTTATGAATATTAAAAAAGAGGAAAATATTCCAAACCCGTTATTAGCTGGTTTCAGTAACCCTTTCAGAACAACTCCAATTAAAATACATTTTTCTAAGATACATCTATTCTAATGTATCGATCAAAAGAAACAACTGCAAAAAAGATAGTAACAAAACAATTATTATATGTGTATATATATATTCATTCATATATATATGCACTTCCATTGCACCTTAGAGCTTTTTTTTTTTTGGTGTCAGTGAAAGCTATAGACAAAATATGAAGAGTGACTATCATCTTCAATATCTATAAAACATTTTGTTTAACACTTAAAGTTAACTTATTCCAAAAAGAGGAAAGGTATAGTCTTTGCATACATCATAAAGGAGAAATTAAAATGTTTAGAGAGATTTTGATTAAATAATTATTTTTTTCTTTTAAATGACGTAATGAATGATATTTTAATTTGTTTTTACCTCCTCCCCATCTCAGACACCTTGCTAAATCATTGCCAGTCCCAAGAGGCAGGATAGCAACTGGAGGATGCTTAAGCAAGTTTGCTTTCTCTGCAAATAAAGAAGAAAAACCTAAGAATCAAAAAYCTAATTGTACAGAAGAGATACAAATTAAGTTTTCTTTCAGTGAATGACAGTAACATGTGTCTTCAACATCAGATTCTGACACATTCTCCACAACAGGCTCTACAATCGCCCCTCCCCTTGTCAATATTAATCATTAATTTATGTTATTGTTATCACAAGGACTTCTAGAACTCATGACTGTGATATCTGGCATAAACAAAGATATTGAAAATCTTTTTGAGACTGATCATGCTGTATTCTATGATCTCTGATTTTTTTTTTTTTTTCATTTGGATGCCAATTATAATTAGTTAAGGACACAGATAATGAGAAATCTTGTATCTTTTCATCTGAATAGTGTAATTCRTGTTTAACTATGTATCTACACAGATTCATGTCAACATATTAGCACCATTACCAAGAATTCCTTCTAGGCATCACTTAAAGGTTTTGCCTGTCAGAAATTAAATCTGATATTCAAAATGAGTACTGATTGATCTGAATAAGTCTCCAACACCATATTTTGCAGTTAATAACTAATATTTTTAAATTTATCTGCTTATAGTGACTTTTATCTCTTAACTATTCTTTTCCAGTGTTTCTARTCAAACCCATCAATTCTATTCGATCTCTACCACACTGTAAGTGGTACAAATGTCACTTAGACATAATCTTTCAAAAGTGTAATTTGTCCAATTCCCCAGTTAAAAGAAATTAGTAGTGTATCTAGTTTTAAGTTACACTTGAACAGTTAATTTGCTATTTTGTTACTAGAAAAATGCACAATTCTCAACAATTCCCAGCATGAGTTCATGCCCAATGGATGTGACAAGGACACCTAGTTATATGTCAGTTTCTGCCTTCAGAAAGGCAGAACTGCCTTCAGTTCTTTAGGAGGATTTGGCATTTACAAGTGTAACACAAAGTTTAAGTCTTTTTGACCAAAAAAAAAAAAAAAAAAGATGTCAAGTTTAAAGATTTAAAACAATCTCATCAATTGTGGAGACAGAAAGTTTGTTTTTTCTCCTCCTGCTTTACTCTCAGTTGAGTGTTTTTAATCAGGAGACCAGGGAAGAAATGATCAAACTGAAAAGTGCCTTTTTCTCAAACAAGCTATTTTTTAAACTTCACATGTACAACTTGTGTCAAAGATTCCTGTTTGCTAAAAGGTAGCATTCAGAATCTATTTCCTGCACTAACAGAATTGTGGGGTCCCGCAAATTATTCCTTKTTTTTATACCATGAGTATTGCTGCAGAAGATGATAGAATTTAATTCAGTCAACATGCAGTCTTTTATTCAATTGATATCACTAAAAAAGAAATGTGAGTGTATGTAATTTTAGTCCTTCTCAATAAGAAGGTAATAACACAAAAGCAGTCACAAAACTACATCCTTTCAATGTTTAGGCAATACACCAGATATTTACACACATTGATTTATGATTCTGATTTGAGAATTCCAATTAATAGTTTGAATTTGCTAAATAAATAAATAAATAAAGATCAAAAATATACTTCTTGTACTATCMATTCCTCCATCACATCCTCTATACTTATTCACTTTCTTCAAGGTTTTCYGGTCTCCACCTTCCAAGAACATATACCTTTTAACACACTTCATCCCAATTTTTAATTGCACCTACTAGTCTTATGTCCTTCTTATCTTTCATTGTCACACATTCATATTTTAGTCTCTACACTCTCTAATGCCAAAAAAGCAATTGTGGTGCTAGAAATATTCTCCCTAATAAGCCTTAAGAAGTTTAAATTTTGTAGTATCTTAATGCCTGGATCTTCCTAATGATTTGATTTACACAGCACTTTATGGACTAGTGCCCGAAAGAACTCAGAATCTCMACTGGCAAACATGCCCCACAAGTAGTAAACAGCTGGGAGATTTGCATGGCTCTCAGGATAGTCCAAATGAGGTTATATAGGGATTTTGAATATTCTTAATAATTTAGATATTCTTAATAATCCTACAAACTAACACATTTCAACAATTCAAATGAAAAAAAAATGTTTGAAATAATTGGATCCACCTGTTGATAAAAAAGGGAGAGCAGTAAAATAAAAATCATGAGTAACTGATCCAAACTATGGAAAAAATATTGTTTACCTATGCAATCCAAAATCCAGCCCACTGTTCCATCTCCGCCACATGCCAGTACTCTGAATTCAGGAACATCTCGGAAAAAATTTAACCTAAAATAGTAAATGAACATATTAGATTAATAATAAATTCAATGTGTATTATGCCAATTTATTATGACTTAACACATTTTACAGTAAATATTAAATTGGCAAATTTAGATTTTATGGCATAATCACCTCTATCCATGCATTCATTCTTCTAGATGGAAAAGAAATAAAATCCAGCCAATGCATTTTCAGATAAATTCAAAATGAAGACATTGAGGACTATCACAGTGCTAGATATATCAGGCACAACATTTCATTAAAACTTTCAATAGCTCACATAAAGAAAAATCACCCATACCAGCATTTCAGGATAGCTATATTAGCTAAACTACAAATTAGCAGTGGATATAAAGATATTTGTTAGCTTGGTAGACTTCTCCATTGTAAAGAAGACTAATGGGCAAAAAAAAGGGACTCAGGGATCCATCTACATCAGAGAAATTTCCTCTTAAGGAGGAAAGTACTTCAGAAATTCTACATTATGATTTACAGAAAAACTGCTGAACAGTATCCATCCATCTTGGGTAGTATCTCTAATTTTTCCATCAATTTGATAATTATGATTGAAGCAGTACATCACTCATGTATTGGAATAGAACTTATATTTGTCTGTAAGGTAAACAAAAGTGAAAACAATCGCCCTAGTGCATCTTTACATCAAAGCAAATTAGAGTCAGCTAAATCTTCATTTGCAGATTTATACTGAGAAAAGACAGATCTGGCAAGTATCAAACTTATAGAAAATTTCTGTAACTTACAATCTTTGTCAATTTCTGAATTCAGAATGCTGGGCTAAACTAAGCAATTCCATTACTACAGTTATTCTGCTTAACTTGCCACTGAGTCCCTGTAAGTTAATTACCCAGAGGACAGAACAAAGCTGAAAGACAATGCAACTACATTGTTGAAATTGTAAGGACTCCATTGTAAGGACCATTGTGCCTTCATTTTACAAAAACGAACAAATGAAAAAACTAAGCCTGACAAATGGTTGTTCACTTGAGTATATAAATGAAATCTAAGCATTTTCCTCTCCTACCAAGCACTACCAAAGCTGAGCTGTCCATGCGCTATTGGACAACGCATACAAACACTTTATGCTCATTACGACAATGAGCTATGGTTTTGTGTACCCTATAGCGACACTACTCGTGAGACACTAATTACAGTAAAACATTTCAATAAAATTAGTTTCAATAAAACCAGTTTATCATAGTATGGGGAAAAAAATATTCCCTTCCTGGGAATATTTTAATGTGCAAAGGTTGACTGGTAGATGGGTATCTAGCAGTTGAAAATATCATTTGAAAGATAAGAATGGATGCCAATTTCAAATCACAGGCTTGCTAAAAAATATGATGACACATTTCAAAACAAAAAAAAAAAAAAAAAAAAAAAAAAAAAAGAGCCCAATCCTGCAGTGTGTGTTCACATGGCTATTGGAGATTCTATGATTATAGAGGACATTTTACTGTAACGAGCACTTTGAGGTTAGAATATATGTTAGTTAACCAATACTGAAAACATTGTTCTATATCATATACTTTATACTCAAAAACACCAAGAATATACTGAGGTTTCCCTTAGCTAACTGCTAGTTAAGATACATACTAATCTATTTCTACAGAAGTAAAAAAAAATYCAAAACATTCTGTTATAGATACTGAAGAATAACGACAAAATCAAATTCATGATCCTTACATGAATTAAATTTCCTTCATATGCATGACATCCTCCAAACAGCATCTTTGCACATTTTAGAGGGACATATGCCCATCGGAAGAATGAACACAGGAAGCATTTCTGGGAAAAGTGAATCAACACAGGCTGTGTAGTAGATGGAGATATTGGATATCATAGATACAGTGAATTTCAGCGGCAACTTAAAAGTGAAGATCAAAAGCTTATTTTGAGGTGACTGAGAAAAGGGAACCAGATGAATAATGCAGAGAGGGCAGCAAACTAATGAACAGGAGAAAGGCTGACACAGAGGCTTTTAAGACAGATTTTGGACAATGGACTGTGAGTGTGAAGTATACTCAGCACTGAACAGCTATAAAGGTTGAGCGAGGGTGGATGAGTCTGTCTCACAGCTTTAGCACTCCAGACAGACATTTCATATTTAAAATTTAAAAATATTTAAAATATAATATTGCTAAAATTTAAATATTCATAAAAACAGTTAAAATATTGATAAAATTGAAAAGATCATTATTGATACTGCAAAAAACACAGATGTCACACATACTTTTTTATATATCATATGAAAAATACTAGAAATATTCATTTTTAAATGAACAATATTATTAAACAGGTGGCTAAAATATGTTTAGACACAAGATTTTATTTTTTACACTACTGTTACTTTAATCATTTTACAGAACTGCTCATGGCATATTTTGGCTTTCTTTGGCAAAAAATATACCTCTTCCAAAGCAACACAACACAGGCCTAAAGGTTTTGTTCAACAGAAAATAACCCAGCAGTTATTATGTTATAGAAAAAATATTCTTGGTTTATATGATTTCCTAGAATACTCAGCAAATTTCAAATGTCTAAAAGCAAAGAAAACAGGAATATACTCTAGCAATCAACTTCAATAATCAGTGAAAATGGTGTAATTTTCAAAATAGGTCTATTGCTTTGTGGAGTTATAAAGGCCCAGGTGCTGTAGATTCCCAAATAAATTACAGAGTAAGTTGCAGGGATTCAACTTGGCTGTCTTGGGCATCCTTTAAGTGGATAGAATTTAAGATTTAAAAGGCTTGTTGATGTAAAGTTCTAGTTGAAATTTAAAAATATATATATTTTTCAAAATTAAATGCTTAAGAGAGTTGCAAAGAAATGCAACTTCTGTGGGTAGAATTCCTATTATGAAATAAAAATAACATAAATTAGACATTTTAAATAATAGACTTAAGGGAATAGGAGCTTTTCGGAGGTACAAAGCCTCTGAGAAATGGTGACCTCTCTACAGAGTCCTGTGGGTCTGTGGCTCAAACGCTATTCATCCATCTTTTATTTACCTCTCTGTGAGGTGAACAATAACTGAATTTCAGATTCTTCAAGATCATTAAATCCACAATAACAGTTGTTGTCAGAAGTAGAAGGCTCCTATAGAGATATAACAACCAAACAGGGAAACTCTTTTCAAGGCTAAAAACACAGGTGCTAGGCACAAATTACACAATGTATCAGCCTGGCAATTTTCATGTCACTTTGTTAACTGTGGCAGTCTGTAACTGCGGAGTACCTTTTATGCTTGTGTTCAGCTGCAGAGCTTACAGGGTTCCTCCAGCTCACACATATCTCTTTGCTCCCAAATAAAGAATGTCTAAACCATTAATTACTATAGCAATCCTAAAAGTGTACGGTTGCCCTTTGGCTGAGAGCTCCATGATTTTAGGGCCTCACAGCAAGTCAGCTTCCGTTGTTGGAAAAGAATCAATGTCAGGGAGTCAGCTGCAATGCCATTTATTTGCATTGCATATGTATTTTTATAGGCATTCTGATTGTGAGTCTTGATGTAAATGAGTCTGGAAACCTTAGCATGGCCATGCTTGAAAGCTATGGGCAACACCTTTGGTCCTGCAGCTCTCCAATCACCATCCCACCTACTACAAAACCAGGTGACACAATCACTTGAGTAAGCAAGGGGTCAGCCTGCATTTACCTGCATCACTTTTTTTCAAAATATTTTTCTGCTTGACTACTACACATTGGAAAGTTTACTAAAAATGCACAGTAACTGAGATCCTAAGATTGTTTTTGTTTGATTTTTTTTTTTTTTTTTTGGTTGTTTTCTTTTAAGGGATGGATTTTAAAGTGTAGTGTATCCTACCCAGATTTCAAAGAAATTCATATATGGGACTCCAATTACGACTGCAATGATTGCTTTAACATGATTTCAGACTCAGATCTGCTAAGGAACCTTTTATTGCAACATATTTTTATGATAGATTGTGGTTATTCCATTGCAGAAGAACATTGTTAGATGCAGTGATTCACCTGGTGCTATTTTCTCATAAACAGCAGTTTCCAAGCCCCTYTGAGGCTTAGGATCTTCACAGAAACACAGAATGGTTAAGGTTGGAAAGCACCTCTAGAGGTCACAGTCCAACCCTCCAGCTCAAGCAGGGATACCTACAGCACATGGCACAGGGCGGCATCCAGGCAGATTTGGAAGCCCTCCAGAGAAGGAGACTCCACAGYCTCCCTGTGCAGCCTGTTCCAGGGCCCCGTCACTGGTCTCCTAGTTCTCTCATTTATCTCTCTGCTATCCTAAACAAAACTATTTAGATGTTCAACAGAAATGAACTAAAAATGATAATTCATATCAACCGTAGATGTTTGGAAGTGTASGTAGGAAACTTTTGAATGTTATCCTCTTAGTTGATGATAACATCTCATCAGAAGACAGAATCATGAACAAATGACAAACATCCACTTATAAATTAAAACGAGTAGTTTGGCTCTGTAAAAAAACATGCAAACATTACCCTAATACTATAGTAGAAATAAGGTACAGGTTTAAAGACAACTGGAATTTTCATTAAAAAAAAAAAAAAAAAGAAAAAAGAAAAAAAAGGCTCAAATAGGCTCTATTGAAATATACTAAAATAATCATAAAAGAATTTAAAATAAATCTATATTATGCTTATCCTTTTCAACTCAGTAATACTAACTGGAATGGAGTATTACCCCTGTACTGTATGGTTGCTTACTGCCCTCTATTTCAGTCTGAATGTCACATAAAACAACATTAAATATATGTAATATTCTGCTTGACAATCAAGTATAACTGGCATTATAGAGATGGATGGATGGATGGATGGATGGATGGATGGATGGATGGATGGATGGATGGCAGGTATTTATTAGATGATCCAGCTCTCACAGAAGAGAGAAACAAAGATTGGTAAATGAAATAGAGAGAAAATATGGTTTACTGAACTACTTGCTTACAAGATAAATCATAGACAGCCTACACAGAACTGCCACAAGACAAGAAGTGATGGCAAGAGATAAACTGAAAATTTAGGATTATACTTTTCTAAGAAATTAATAAAAATAGTACACCAAAACAAGCCTAATAAAATGAAGTATCTGTTTGAAAATTAATTAGAAATTTCTTCAAAGTGACACTGAAGCAAAACTATTTAGCTTCCTAGTAGGAAGAGAAATTGAAAATATTTCATAAAAAAAAAAAAAAAAAAAAAAAAAACAAAAAATGAGGAGGTTCCACATGAGATGGGGAGAAAGTCTTT